CCCATCGCCGCCGCCCTCGCCCGCCGCCCAGGAGGGGCCGCCGCGGGCTGGGGGAGGTGGCGGGGGGAGGGGGGCGGCGGCGGCGGCGCTGGCCCTGCGTTCTCCAGAGGGAACTAACACAAGGCGACGCCCTCCCGCGGTCGCCGGCGGCAGCGCGGAGATGCCGCGTCGAGGCCGGGGGTCTCCGCCCCGGTGACTGGGACTGCCCCCTCACCGACCCTCACCCCTGTGGCCAACGGGGGGAGGTCCCCGGGGGGAGCTCTGTGTGTCCGATGTGACCTCCCACCCCGGCGACCATCGCCCGCAGCGGAGGATACGGAAAGCGCGGTGGGGTGGGGGTAGGGCTGGGGAGGGGAGGGGAGGGGAAATCCCCCGACCTGGCTCAGTGCCGTAGGTGTGGGGGGAAGTGTGTGAGTTGCGGCCGCCCCTGCAACCTCTGCGTGCCGTGGTAGTGGGGCGGGGGGCTCGAGCCCCGCGGCAGGCGCAGCTCTAGATGGGCTGGGGGGGGCAGCAGCGGCCCTCTGAACCCCCCCAATTCACCCCATCCCCCCAAATCCCATCGCGAGAACGCGGCTTTAGGGAGAGGGGGTGAAGCGAGTGCACGACTCCTCCCTGGTCGAGCCCCGGGGCCGGGCTCCCCCCGCTCCTGGGAGTGGGATCCGTGTGTGCCCCCGCCGCGGGTGGGCCGGGGGTGTGAGTGCGCGGGGGCACCCCCGCAACAGCCGACACACGCGTGTGCCGGGAGCGGGACACAGGCAGGGGTGTGCCCGGGTGTGCACACACCCCTACACACGCACATACACAAACGCGCACACGCGTACATGCACATGCACATACATGCACACACACACAAACGCGCACACGCGTACATGCACATGCACATACATGCACACACACACGGTCACACCCGCACACACTGTCGCACCCCGCCCCCTGCCCACGCACGCCGAGCCCGCACAGCCCCGCCGCCTCCCCTTCCTCCTCCTCCCCCTCTCCCCATCCCCCGATTCTCCGCCATTTCCCTCGCCCAGCCCCCGCCGCCGGCGGGGACCAGCCCCGAGAGCCCGCGGTGCTGGGTGTCCGAGGGTCAGCAGCATCCTGCCCAGCCGCGTGTGTGTGCGTGTCCCCATCCCGCAGCGGGGTGCCCTGTCCCKCCCCCTGCTCCCTCACCCCGAGCACAGAGCCCCCCACAACAGCGGGGTTCTGCCATGCTCAGGCACCCCTGTGATGAGTCGTGCCCGGCCTCTGGGGGCTGCGAAGCTCTCGGGCACGAAGAGACGGCGCAGCCCCAGCAGCGTGGGGCCGGCCCCGGGATCCCCCATCGGGAGCCCCTGGGAGCAGCGGGAGCATCGAGCACCCACCCCTGGGACACAACACCCACCGCGTTTTGGCTGTCATCGGGCGGAGGGGTGTATGATGTGTAAATTTACCTGTACACGTGTAAATGTAACGCTGGAGCCAAAGCTTACAGCTAAGTCGGCTATAGGTTGTGGTTCTATGGGGGGGATGTCTGTTATAGATGTGTGATATCTAATGGTTGCTATTTAATGTAAGAGCTACATGTAAATATAAAACAAATATAAGTGCATGCATACACATAAAGACCTAGCTATTTTTAAACCATTGACATAAACATATGGAAATTTAAGGACAGTATATGTGGGTAGGTGGGTGGCTGGGAGTGCAAGCAGGGCTGGGCAGTGGGGGCACTGATGTCACCCCGGCGGTGTGGCTGGGACCAGCACAGGGATCCAGCCCCAACCCGCAGCCAACAGAGCACCGGGGCTGTCAAYGAGGGCTCCTCTGCCTCCACAGACAGGATAAAGCATGGAACACACACGTGGAAATATATGGAGGTGTATTTATTAGAATAGAATGTATGGGGGAGGCTGCTTTTGTGTGTGTGAGAAACACAGAGACTGGGAGAAAACAGCCCCAACACTCACACATTCTGTCCCCATGTGAGCATTTACACTTGTATGGACACAGACGGCGAGTTTTGTTCACATACGTGTCTCTCTTTTACATGCACATACAAACATACAGGTGTGAGAGAGTGTGAGCCTCACGGGCAGTTCTCTCTTGCTATACACTCACATACAGGTGTGTGAGAGAGGAGCGTGCTGTTCAAACATTCTCACTGTGCACACACAGACGTGTGTAATGTATGCAATAAACACAGATATGGGGATAAACTCTCACACTCTTTTCTCTCGACCTCTCTGTATGCACACACACACAAATACAGGCACACTTTCCTCTCTCACTCTGTACATCCGTACGTGCACAGAGACCCAAACACCATGAGCGAGAGCTGTTCACTCACATTATTCTCTCTTGCTGTCTATAGATATGTGCATGTATGCTTGAGAGAAAAAGCAAGAGCTATTGTCTCACACACACACATTTTCCATCACTCTCTCTCCCTGCCCCATRCAAATGTATAATCTCTATACAATCCTTTCTCTGTGTGGAGATACATTGTAGAGAGCAAATTATAGTTTTTCTCACACACGCAGTACTGGCTCTGTATAGAAGCATGTGTTAACATGTACAGAGAGTGCTCATATGTAATTATCTGTATATGAATTTATATGCATAATTAGAGAGAGCATTGCTTACACAAACACGTTGTTCTGTGTGAATAGATCACACTAACGATAATCTCTATTCACACACATTCTCCCTCTTGCCATATCTATATATTTAGACATACATAAATAACAAAATGAGTGAAAGAAATTATACACAGTTTCCATGACTCTCTCTCTTCCTGTCCCCATCTATATTCTCTGAGATGCATGAATATATGCATATCTATGTATGTGTTGATATATTCTCTCTCTGTATGTACATGCATAAGTAGAGATAGAACCATTCTCACACATTACTCCCTTGCCTTATATATGAATATGTAGATGCACACATACATATATAGAGAGATTGTTCACGAACAGTTCTCACTCTATATATACATATATGTGCATTAATTAAAGCAGAGACTGTTTACACAGAGACACTATTTTCACTTCATTGTACACATACAGTGTATACAGTTAGTGAGCCATTTTTACACGTGATACTCCTCTTTCTATATGAATACATATTTGCACATATAAACACAGGTATATGTGCTCCACTGACAGAGATCCTGGCTTTCTTTCACACACACWTCTCTCCTTACAGATATAGGGATATATTTAGAGCTGTTAACCCTCACAATTCTCTTCTTATATATGCAGACAGATGTACATTTATATATTTTTAATTTATTTATATGTTATTTCTATTTTATATATTTGCATTTTTAGTCTATAAATATTTATATACATACATGTATACATGTATACTATGTCTATTTCTATACATACATATATACACGTATACTTAGATATCAAGGGGATGAGGTAGCAGGCATAGATACATATATATATAAATACAAAGTATTTATATATAATATATTTATTTGTTATATAAACTTTATATATGTGTATATATACACACACTGAGCTGTTCAGAGAACTGTTTTCACATACAATGCTACACTCTGTATATGCATGTTTCACACACAAAATGCTTTCTTTGTAATAGATTAACATATACATAGGTGTGTATATATATATATATATATATATGAACTGTTCACACAGAGAATTCTTTTTATATATGCATGTGTACATAAATAACTGGAGAAAGCACTGTTTGCACACTCACGTATCTATACAGAGCAAGAACATGTGAGCTGTTCATAAATGTGTATAATTCTCTCCCATGTATACACATAGRTATGTGCTTAGAAAGGGATGAGAGCTCTTCACAYACAAGTTTACCTGAAAAARTATATTTTATATATATSTACACACACACACTTATATACTCATCAAGAGAGTGCTCACACTAACACACAGTATCTTTTGYTCTAAATCCACATACATGTGAATATATAATTCTATATATTATCACATAYGTAATTAGAGATACTCACCCACAGAATGTATTGTTAAAGACACACAATACCTTTTCTCTCTACATGCTCATACACACATGTACAGTGAGATGGTGAGCTGCTCAGTCTTTCTGGCTACACACACATACATATGTGCATGTATACATATATGAAGCACACGTGCCTTATTCACACACAGAACATTRCCCATATCTCCTGCCACACACGCTATTTAAACATTTACTTATGTATGAAACTAATTGTGCATGTGCATCTATTTTCTACCATTCTCCCTGTCTTTCCCTTTTCCCCCCAAGAGGAAGAGAAAGACCTACACAGAGCATGGTAAAAAAATACCCCTAACACATGCCTCCAGCCCTAAAAATGCATGTGGGGTGTCTGTGTTTCTGTGAAGCAGAGGTCTGTCCCACCCTCTCTTCTCCCCACATATAATATCTGGGATGTATGTACAGTGTGTGTGTGCACGTATTGATCTGGACATGCATTCTGTCTGCGTGGCTGTGTGTGGATGGAAGGCAAGAACAAGTCATGCCCCCTCTCAATCCACACACAAATATCCACCTCTATGTCCAATTTATTTAAATATTATTTATGTCTGAATTTTCTTTCGTTTTCTTTCCCTATCTCCCTCCCCCTCCTCTCTTTCTCAAAGAAATTTAAAAATAGCTAAACTACACACACACAGCTGCATGTAAATGACCCTTTTATATATAAATGAGGCAGAAACAAAGAAAAATAACTACATGTTTAAATATATCTAAAACACACAGAGAGACGTGTATAAATACTAAGAATAATCTCTCTGTGCAGACAAAGAGAAAAACCTCCCACACATAAAACCACAAACATGTATGTATAAAATAATTTAAAATGTATCTGAATGTGTGTGATCATCTCTGTCTCTCAATATAGGGAGGTGATAACTAATAGACATACACACCTTTGTATGTGTGTATATTTCATATTTAAACATTCTTATATAAATATATAAATAAAGTATATATGGGTGTAACCATATCTACGTGTGAGGTATTTTTTTCTCCTTCTCTGAGTATATATACAARTGTATATGAAGAAAGAGATACTTTATGCTTCAGGTGTGTACRTGGGAAAGGCTGCAGCCATGTATGTGTCATAAATAGCAACCTGTAACTAAACTGGTGCTCTGTCTCTGAGCCTTGGGAGATTTGCCTGTGTAATACAGCAATCCACACACACACAGCTCCGTGCCTGTGCTTCTTTGTGTTTGTGCTTCCCTGCTGATTTGCTCTCCAAAAGATCTGTCCCGGTAAATAAATACATACACGCATTCCTGCTGGTGTAAATGTGCTGGAGTATGTAAACAGCAARCACACCCGTGTTTGCCCAAAAACATTGGGTGTACCTATAGAAACGGCAGCATGTTTTTGTGTTTGTCTCACACATTTCCCYGCGGGCCCCTGGGTCCCCGCACACCTGGGGTTGGTGGCGATGGCAGCCGTTTGGGCTCCAGGTGTGCAGGATGGGGCTGGCAGCGAGCCCCGTGGGGCTGGGACAGCGGGCACCGGGCTGTGGGTCAGGACAGGCTGCAGTGCAGGACACGTCCAGCCCAAAGCCCAGCCTGGTGGCCCTGCCAAGGCACGCCGAGCTTGCCCGCCCCGGGCTTCGCAGCTTGGCGTCTCCRTGCCGCTTTCCACCTGCCAGCGCCGGCGGTCGGCCTGGAATTGCTTTGCCTGCTCCCCCCCCGCAGCCCCTGCAGCACAGATGTGGTTGTGCGGTTCCCCAGCCCAGATCTGCCCCAGCAGCTCCCCGACACAGCTGCCTCCACAGGCACCGGGCRCTGCCAGGCCCCACACCCACCTGCCCTGCCCCACCTGCCCTGCTGTGACCTCGCTCACTTCACACACTCCAGCAGCCAGGGCTGGTTGCCTTTTCCTGTCACACACACAAACGGTGGACCTGGGAACAGACCCGCTCCACTAAGCCAGCCAGGTTATCTCCTTCTTGCCCTGGCAGGATCTGGGCACAGAGCAAAACCAGGTCTGAGCTCCACTGCCTCTATGAACCAGCTGAAAGCTTCAGCCTCTCCCAGGGCCAGGCTTCCTCTAGGATTCACCCAGAGTCACCCTTGTACCCATTGTCATTGCACCAGCAACAGAGGTCATCACGTAAGTAAAAGCCAAGAGGCTCCCGTGGTGAAGGGAGTGGTTTTAAGTGTTTGTTCCCTGCAGAGACAGGCCAGCTGGCTTCTCCAGTGCCAGGATTCTCCACACCCCRGTGATGATGAGTGATTCTCGCAGAACACCAGTCCCCATCTGTGACACCACCACCCCTGAGGGTAACAGCAGGGCACCAATTCCCACGCTGCTTGCCTCCCGCACTAGCTTTTGTACACTTGTGTGTGTTCCCACCTGTGAAAACAYTGATCTGTAGGTGGCAAATGGAATCCTCCCCTCCCCCTTAGCATCCATAACATCCTGTGGCAAGGAGCCCCACAGCTGGCCTGTCCCATCTGGAGCATTCTGCCTTGGGTTATTGCCAGTTTATTTGACTGGAAAGACATTAAAACACAGGGTCTCTTGTGGGCTCAGCCACAGCCCTTCCAGCCTCAGCTCCACCACCCAAGGCCAAAGCAGGCAGAGGGGTGCAGAGTTCAGACCTTCCCCTTTCCCCAAAACTTCAGGGTTATTCAGGGTTCCCCCTCCCCCASTTTGGCTTTCTCCACACTCCAGCTGTATCCACAGAAAACAAGTGCAGAGCAATGCTTTAAATAGAGAGGAGCAGAAGGTCCAAGTCTTTCAAAAAGGATGCAGATAGAAAAGTGATCCCACCAGGACACATCRCTAGTGCAGTTATTTCAGATTGATGTGGACAGCAAAAGCCCAGTCAAGTGAGAAAAGCRTGATAGGACAGTGCCATAAAATAGGATATGGAGCACAAAGACTGTTAGAAAGCTCTTGAAATAACTGCCCTCATTTCTCTAAACTCTGTTTTCCATCTTCCTCTGGGTACAGTTGTCAGCTCAGCCTTGGTGAGTGCAAGCAGAGGGTCATGCCCAGCATCTAGAACTTACAAGCTTAACCTTGACTAGGCCAGACTAAGGAATGGCCCTCAGCTCACTCCCAGGAACCCCAGGCCAGAGCAGAAGGGCTGAGGCTGCTCTTCTCACACAACCCCTCCCGGGGGAGGGCAGCAAGAGATTTAAGAGCCTGTCCCAAAACACAAAGGCTGTCATATGCCCAGAACAGGGCTGAAGGACTGWGCTCAGAGGGGTAACTCTCTAGCAGAGCCCCAGCCATGCAAGCAGGGTCAGCTCATCCCATTCTCAAACACCAAGCTGGAAGACACAGGCTCTATAGTAAGGAAGAAGCACAAATGTCTTTCAATAGCAGGCATCAGCTTGCTGKAATGGTGACTAGACAGAGGAAAGAAAGCATGTTAGTGGAGGAAAAAAGAGAGTCAGAAACAGGAGTAAACAAGAAGGTTTGTTCTTGTTAAGTTTATTGGCATCATGTTTGTCTCTTTACATAAGAGCTCAGCCTACGTACTAGAATGTAGACCTCCRGAAAACAGGTAGAAGGGCTCCATTTAAGCAAGCTACAAACGCAAGAACAAATACCAGGAAGAAAGGAAGAGAGGAAAGGGACTAGATTGCCAAGTTTTTCCATACCAAAAATCCAGATTAGCAGTCAGTAAGAAGAAAGGGAAGATTCGTAGTCCAGGTCATTCATCAAGAAAAAGCTACCACACCCCAGGTGGGAGAGGAGCTCCTTCCACAGCACAAAGAGCCACAGGGACACCACAGCTCTGGCTCCTCACGCTCGCTCCAGGATGTTAGGAGTTAAGCAGTAGGGGAKGTGAACAAATAAGGTCATTTCATAGCTGTATTTAATTTTAAATCCAATAATCCAGTGTGCATATCAATGCTGTTATGCAAATCTGAGAATTTAGATACAAGGAAGCCAGACAGATTTTTCCAGAAGATGAAGCCTTTTTGGCCTCAAAACAAGAAGGCTTACATAGTTCATCTCTACTGTACAGAATACTGCCTCTATCTGGACTCTGTGGTGCTAGCACGCTGCAGGTCACAAGTGTCCTCCTCACTTTCTACACAACCTGTGTTTCAGTACTTGAACATGTAATTCAGGAATTTTACACTAATTTATACATTTTTAATTGGTTGCATATATTAACATGTACTATAAGATTTTTCCTAAAGAAGCATTACATAATACATGGATACTGTAAAAAGATCTGATTAGTTAAAAGTAACAAGCATTAACAGAGATACATACAAAACTCAACCTAGTCGGACTGAGTGCTGAGCTTGCAATGAACTATGRGTAATCAGCCTTTCCAGTTGCAGCCTTCACAGGGGAAAACACGAGACAGTTAAAAATGTATGTAACTTGTTACACAGATTACCTGTAAACAGTTTCTCTCCATTGGACACCCGGAATTAGATTCAGTTCCAAACATACATAAGAGTTTCCATTTTAAACTAAGAGAAAGGTCTGTTACCATGAAGTGTGATGTGGATGGTGTGGGGACGTGAGCTCTGAAGTGCAGGACTCAGACGCTCATGGGAGATGGGTGGATTTTGGCAGCTGGAGATGCAATTTTTTTTTAAATTTCATTTTAAACACAGAAGAGGGGCTGTGTGTTTGAAGGCCTAAGTGTGATATTCGTTTGTGAAGGACTGTGCTCAACCCCTCCCTCTCCCCTCAGCAGCTGCAGCTCTCCGCAGAAGCCTTCGCTCGGTCAGTCTTGTCTAGTTTGATGGGTTCAGGGAATTCATTGTAAAGCTCCACTTCGGTTTCCTAGTGGGAGAGAAGGAGGAGTTATTGCCATGCTCTGCAGACAGCTCCCAGCATGCMAGGAGCTGCTTTTGGCTGGGGAAAGCTGGGGATGAGCCCCAGGCTGCCCACAGCACCAGCACAGGGCTGCACACCGGCCCCTTCCCTACCTGTTTAAGTGCATTTCGTGCAATCGTCTGGAAAGCTTGTTCCACATTAATGGCCTCCTTGGCACTGGTTTCAAAGTAGGGGATGTTGTTTTTACTGTAGCACCAGGCTTGTGCCCGTTTTGTGGTGACCTGGAGGGACAGAGAGCAGCATCACTACCTTCTGCTATGCAGGGAGGAGTTTTATTCTCAGGGCAAGGCCAGAGACTTGCCAGAACCTCATATCCAACCTGAGCAGCTCTGACCTCATCAAAGCCGCAGCCTTGATACAGAACACAAGAGACCACTGCCCATCACCAGACAAACCCAGCCCCAGGACAAGGAGCCCCACATTTCAGCACTGGTTTACTCCCATAGGAGCTGCTCAGCACATCTGGGGGAGGAGAAGCAGCTCTTCTCCTTGCACCTCCCCAGGAAGCTGCTGCAATCCTTCCACCAGTGGGCAGGAGCACGCTGTGCACAGGGGTCTGACCTCTCCAGGCAGGAGAAACCCTTCTCTGGTGGCAGAAAACATCTGAGCCATTCTCAGGCACCTCCCACTCCTGTTTCTCAGATAAACCTCCCATGCTCCTACAAGGTCTCCCACTTCAGCAATTTCTTAAGAGGAGGTCAGTAACTCCCAGTACTCACTTGTCTGTTTTCTAGGTCAATCTTGTTTCCCAGCACAACAAAAGGAAAGTTCTCAGGATCCCTTGGACTGGCCTGAATGAGGAATTCGTCCCTCCAGCTGTCTAGGGTTTTGAACGTGTTGGGGGCTGTGACATCAAACACCAGCACACAGCAGTCTGCTCCCCTGTAGAAGGCAACTCCCAGAGACTGAAATCGTTCTTGGCCTGCTGTATCCCATATCTGGAGCAAAAGACAGGGCAGATAAGCCAGCTCTACTCTGACACAGGCAGTCTGCAATTAGGGCATTAATTCCAAAACTCCCCACCAGGCATTTACAGTCCCCAGCTAGGCAGACAGCAGCAYCTGAAGGCTTGGGAATTTCTGTAGGCACTAAGCATCAAGAGCCAGAAACACCTTCTAAAGATAGTTGACCCTTTTTGTGTTCAGCCTCAGCCAGGGACAYATCCTTGTTCTGGGCAAGCAGGACTTGGGTATTAGGGTCAGCAAGTGACCTGCCTGCAGTTCTTGGATGCACCTGGGTACCAACAGAGTCCAAACACTCCTCTGATGGCTGCAGCTTTTGCTGCCTTGCAGTCAGTTCCACCATGGAGAGATGAAACCTTCAGATATCAGAGACATAAGCAGGCTGACAGGTTAACACTACACCCACAGGACTTGGGGCAACATGAGTTCTTTCCCAACCCTTGCCAGTTCTTGAACAGTAGGGAAGTTAATCTTTTCATCAAGAGCTAGTTTACTGACAGTACCAAATCCACTCTTTCAAACAGGGCCTAGCAAAGCTGCTCTTAGCTGAGCCCAGCTGCTCTTAATCCTTGCCTTCCCTTGTTCAGCCCATGCACAAATTTGTAGAGAAGCCCAGAAGCACCTATGGCCAAGAGAAGTTCAGTGCAAACAAGATTAACACGCAGTACACTGGACTACAGCCCAGGCAGCCCGTGCAGCAGGGAGCAGAGTCCCTCCTTACCTGCATTGTCACTAGCCTGTCATCCACCATCACCTCTTTTGTCAGGAAGTCTGCGCCTATCGTAGCCTTGTACTGGTTACTGAATTTCTTGTTCACATACTGGTTCATGAGTGATGTCTTTCCCACCCTGTATCGGAACACAAAAAAGAAAGACTTGGTAGGTTGTTTCTACAACAATGTTTCAGTTAACCACCCTGAACAGAACATCCCTTTGCTTTCCACAAAAGYGTCCTTGGCTTTCCACAACCTCCTGGCCAGGGAACCAGGGAAAAAGCACCCACCTCTGCAAGAAGGGGCTTGCACACCAAGTGATGCTGAGGCACCAGCTGAGTAAGAGCATTAGCTACCCAAGGATACAAAGGATTACATCCTGAGAAACCTTGCTTCCCCATCACTAATCTGATCCTTGGTAAGGAGCAGATATCACATTATGACCATGAAGGTAATTTTGGAAGATGAAGGGCTTCAGAGAAACACAGCAGAAAGRGTAATCTTCAGCCTCTGCAGAAGGAGGAGGTGGAGGAACACAATCTCAGATGGCAATGGCTCAGACACATCTGCTAGGCACCCAGAGGTGGAGATCCCCCGCAGAGAGCCCGCTTAGAGGCTCACATGCCCTCTGTGTGGCTGAGAAACGCTCCCTGAACAACAGCTTGCTGGGGACAGCAGTATAAATAAGCCTTATGTCATGGGAATCAGGTTACAGCCTGCACAGCAAGTAACCTGTGACAGCAGAGCAGACTCCTTGCTGAGAGCACAGAGCAAAGCCTTTCACTCCGAGGGGCAGGCTCCAGCCAGACCAGAGAAGCAAAGCAGATGGCTCGRTACAGACTATGCCTCTGACAGAGACAGAATTTTAAAGAGTCAATTAAGAATGCTTACTAGTGGTTTTGGCTTTTTTTAATTTCATATTTAAGCGAAACGCTCATTCCAACAGCCTTGCAGAAGGCTATTCAGCTGTGCTATTGCAGCAGTCTGCCCACCACGTTCTCCCTATTTAATATTGTGGCAGGACTTCAAGATAAACAGCRGGGACACATTCAGGACAGAGGGTAGCAAAGGGTTCTTAAACCTATCCAGGGCTGCAAAATCTCTCTTCCCAGCACTGCTGGTTTCTTACAGTGCATCCAGGCTCCCACTAGTCAGAAGGATTGCTGTAGCCAGACACAGATTAGCAGCTTAAAGGCTCCTCCACTTACCCAGAGTCTCCAAGGATGATGACTTTCAGTAACACTTTCTTCCTAGAAGTCATCTTTCACACTAGAAAGGAAGAACAATCCCATCACAAACCATTAGTATGTCACTCCTCAAGAAAGAAAGCAGCAAGTTTGGAGTCTGAGAAACCYGACTCCCAGCAAGGATCCAGCGACRGGCAGGGCCCAGCACTCCTGAAACCAGACTCCAATTCATGGTTACACTCGGCACTAACCAGGTGTCTGCCCATTGCACAGGCTGAGCCATGTCAGACCAGTAGTGGCAATTTAATACGAAGAAKTAGATGAGCCAAGCACTTGTCCTCTACTGTACCAAGATCCCTCTGGRTCCTATTTCCAGGCCATTTGGTAGATATACTAGCCCAGGCTATYTCCCTTGACATACTGGAGGCAGTCCAGTAAATCCTACCAGCTCCCAAAACAGGCTAATTCTTACACATGCCACAAAATGAGATGTAAGCAGGCATGTATGTAATACCATACTCTAGATTTTTGGTGCTGTTCAACAGTTTTCCAGAAAAAAAAAAAATTAAAAAGAAAAAAAGTATTTCCTCCATCATGAGCCTGGAGAAGTGGTAGTTTTCTCCAGCAGCTGYGCTTTGTGAAAGTACTGAATCCCAAGGACATGCTGTGGTTGAAGCAGCTACAACAGCCAAGGCAGTTGAATTACAAAGYAAATTACTACCAGACTCAGTGGCTTCACCGAGGGCACGGGAAGCTGACTACTGCCACCTGACCTTCGGTATAATAARGTTACAGTGACAAACCTCAACAGACCCTGCTTTGGTCCTGCTCCACAACACAGGGACTTCTTGGCTGTCCTGAAGGAGCCCTGCAGGTTCAGCACAGCAAGAGGAGGCACAAGATTGTTATAGCTGTGATACCTAACATCAAAGACCCTTGATGACAGGCTTTGGTATTGAGCCCTTATATATGGACTTGCTTACCCTAAAATTCCCATCYTGCTACACCACATTCATTGCAGCACACAACTCCTACTCCTGAGTGCTATTCCTGATTTTCCCAGCTAAGRAGGCCTTCATTTCTACAACAGGGATTTATGTCTCTTCAAAGYAGTTGATCCCATTGTGCTTCCTGGAATACACAATATCGTAAGGTGCTAGAGTACTGCACCTACCTCACCCCACTACTGCAGGAGTGTAAAAATCTCTTACCAGATGCAGTCCAGCTGCAAAAGATGTTAATCATTTCAGGCTTTGAGGGTTAGAAGACATGAAGTGCTTTAACCTTTGCTGTCAGTGAATGTTGTCAGAAGCTGAAGGAGCACCCCTGCACCCACTGTAGTGATGCACCTAGAGCTACATGTTGTTGTGCTGTACCCACCTCACAGTCACAGGGTCATTTAGTTTGAAAAAGGCCTCGAGGTTCATCCAATGGGTCCAACCATTAACCCAGCACTGCCAAGTCACCACAAACACACATCCCTCAATGCCACTACTACATGGTTTTCAAACACCTCCAGGGATGGTGATTCCACCACTGACCTTGTCAACTCATTCCARTGCTTGACAGTGCTTTTGGTGAAGGAATTTTCCTTAATCTCCAATCTAAACCTCCTCTGGCATAGCTTGAGGCTGTTTCCTCATCCTGTCACTTGTTGCCTGGGAGAAGAGATTAACCCCCACCTGGCTACACCCTCCTTTTAAGTCCTCTTGAGCCTCCTTTTCTCCAGGCTAAACACCCTCAACTCCCTCAGCTGCTCCTCACCAGACTTGTGCTCCAGCCCCTTCCCCAGCTCCGCTGCCCTCCTCTGGACACACTCCAGCCCCTCAATGTGTGCCTTGTCATGAGAGGCCCAAAAAYGAACCCAGGATTTGGGAAGTGGCATCATCAGYGCCAGTACAGGGGGACAGTCACTGCCCTGATCCTGCTGGCCACACTACTGCTGGTCCAGACACGATGCCACTGGCTTCTTGGCCACCTGGGCTCATGTTCAGCCATTATCAACCAGCACCACAGATCTTTTCCTGCCAGGCAGCTTTCCAGCCACTCTGTTCCCAGCCTGGAGCACTGCAGGGAGTTGCTGTGACCCAAAGGCAGGACCCATCACTTTACCTTATTGAACYTCATACCACTGGCCTTGTCCCATTGATTCAGCCTGTTCAGACCCCTCTGCAGAGCCTGTCTACCCTCCAGCAGATCAAACACTCCCACCCAACTTGGAGTTATCTGAAAATTTACTGAGGGTGCCCTCAATCCCCTCACTCAGGGCGCTGATAAGGATATTAGACAGGACTGGCCCTGGTACTGATCCCAGGCGAACACTGCTGGTGACCAGCTGCCAGCTGGATACAGCTCCATTCCCCAAAACTCCCTGGGCTCAGCCATCCAGCCRTTTTTACCCAGCCAACAGGGCACTTGCCCAAGCCATGAGCAGCCRGCTTCTCCAGGAGAATGCTGTGGGAAACAATGTCAAAGACTTTACTAAAGTGCAGACAGACCACATCCACAGCCTTTCAYTGATACACTAAACAGGGCACTTTGTCATAGGAGATAAGGTTGGTCAAGCARGACCTGCCTTTCCTACACCCATGCACACTGGGCCTGATCCCCTGGTCCYGTACATGTTGCATGATGGCACTCAAGGTATCTGCTCCATAACCTTCTCTGGCACCATGGTCAGACCAACAGGCCTTCCCTAGATCCTCCTTCTGATCCTTCTTATAGAGGGACATTTCATTTGCTAACTTCCAGTCCTCTGGGACCTCTCCAGTAAGGCACTACTGCTGGATTGAAAGTGGCTCAGGGAGCACTTAAACCAGCTCCCTCTGGTRCCCTTGGGTGGATCCCATCCAACTACAGAATCTTGAGTGTGTCTAAGTCATGTAGCAGGCCTTCTCATCCTTCATAACTATGTTTCCCTCCACATCCAATAAAGGATGGGGATCCCCCTTAGCTCTCCTTTTGGTGCTAAGGTATAAAAACACTTTTTATTGTCTTTTACAGCAGTAGCCAGATTAAGCTGTAGTTGGGSTTTGGCCCTTTTGTTTTTTTCCCCTGCATAAGTTCATGAAATCCTTGACATGGACTCAGTRCTAAGGAGATAGGGGGCTGTGGAGTGAGCAGCAGTGACAGGTCACCCACAGGGCTCACACCACCCTTAGATGGGTGTTAGCAGATGCCAGAGAGCATGTGCAGTTTCTCCAAGGGTAAACATCTCTGTTTTCCAGTGGACTGTATTGTTCACTGATCCAACTAGCAGCCCAGCTATGCTAGCCAAGTTGGAACCAGCTGAAAGTTGTCAACAAACCCAACATTTAGCTCTGCTTCTGCTTTTGCTAAGATCCACACACCACAGCCATGAGGACAACAGACCACAGGAGCTCCTTCAAGCAGCCTGCACCTCCTATGTTTGCAAAGCACTCAAGTAACACTTTAGCCAGTCAGGTCAGAGACTTGTGCAGCAATCAGCCTATATGGAGCAAGAAACAAGTGAACAGAGCTTTCAAACAGTTTAAAGACAGCTGTGTACACTGAACTGTCATGAAAAACATCTGCATAGGTTCAAGTCCAGTGCAAGTCACCTGATTTCCTCAGGACAGAGGAAAACAACTCACCCTGAAGTGGCTGTGCCAGAACCCAGCATGCTTCTGGGAACTGTTTCTATTTTCCTCGGAGTGTTTCCAGTATCACTTACTGCTGCAGCTCACTGCCTCCTGGTATTCGAAGCAGCTTTGGACAAGCTGGCATTAGTTCTCATGCTTAGGGAGGGATTTGCAGAGCCCTAAATTGCAACACTAAATCACACTGGATGCTTATCTCCCAAGTTCAACATAGCCTGAAGTCCCACTGTGAGGGGAGGGAAAACTGCTTTGTCAAGATTCATTACCTTGGAAGTAACTCAGCTGAGCAGCCACCTGCAGACATAGGAAGTTGGGCTGAGTCAGAGCTGACACTGCCTTCTTGTCATAGCTGCCAGGCTACCCAGCAGTGTGCAGGGCTGTCACTGCCCCACCAACACCAGTCAGGTGAGACACTCAGCTTCCATGCAGGTGATGCAACGGATGTGAGCCATAGCACAGAAGGAGCTGCTGCAGCTTCATACTTGGTGTAGCCCATGAGACAGTGAGGAACTCCAGGCCTGCCAGGGACCAGCAGTGGACACTGCCCAGTCTCACACCCTTATTCTATCAGGCTTGACAGATGCTGCCCTACAGCCCAGTCAGTTGATGGGCCATGCCCTCTTATTAATCTTCTCATTGCAGGTATAAACAGACCAACACTTCAGAGTTATTCCTTGCCAAGTACAGCAAGGAAACAAATCTTCAGGTCCTGTAGAAAGTTTGGGAAACTTTCTTGAATTGAGATAGTGCTAAGTCAGTGGGGCCCCAGCCTAAGACTATTTTGCACTATATAATGCAGCTCATCTTGCTTTATGGTATTTGACACAATTACTCCAGAGCAGCACTCTATTGAGGCACACGCCCTTCAGATGGCAGTGTGAGAGCTCACATGGGGCTTGCGTCCTGTCCCAGGAGCACTTCTGAACAAACACTTCCTTTTTCAGAGGCATCACGAAGAAAAACCTGCTTGTTAAGATTTGATCCAAGACATCAGCTCTGTTTCAAACTGCATGAAATCTTTTGGAGCGACGTCACCTGCATGACTGCTCAGAACACAGCCTACCAGCAGCACACCCAKCCAGCCCTGCTCACGAGCCACCAGACACTCCACATCAGCCAGGAGACCAGTCAGCATCACTCCTCCTCCYGGCTTAACTGGTGCCAAAGGAATGACACAGCTGTCTCTAATACAGCAGAGTAGTCCTTTCACTCCATTTTTAATGCCTATCCTCTAGGCAAACAACCCATTAATGATATGCTGACCCTCATGAAATTARGCTGGTACAGCACACTCTCTCCCACAGTACTAATATTACATTTAAGGCTCACCTGCAGAAGCAGCAAGGAAAAGTCCCTGACACCTGACCTGCAAGTGTCACCGGCTTAGCTGATCTGAAAGGAAAAGTCAAACTCCATCCTATGAAGCTTCATAGCACTACAGCTCAGATGCAAGAGCAAATAA